TGTTACACCGGTGTCTGAGGCGCTGAAATTTTAATGTGGCCGTTAATAAAGAAGCAGTAAGTTTTTATTACAGCATTTTCTCCTTATTCTAGCCCACATTATCAATTTAGATGCCAGCAATACATGAGTAACCGGACCATTCAAAAATGTCTCTGCTAGCACATCCACAGTTTATTCAGAAACAGGTCCTTATGTTCGGCAAGCCAAACCAATTTAATGAAATTCATATGGGAAGGAATTAACGATTTTGATGCACTCTGAACATGATAGTTCTCATTTCCTGAAAAGGAAGAACACACAAATAGGGGATGCATCAAATTACTGCTGAACTGGATGATGTTAATTTGTGGAGCGCTAGAATGATCGCTAAAAGCTCTGCCTAAAGGACTCTATATAGCCAGAATTTGAGGCTTACAATATCTCGGTCAGTATGCTCCGAAGAATAAGTCTGAATGGGGAGTAAGAAAAAAATTGTTTCTGAACTTCTTACAGTAGATTTGTACAGACGTAGAAATGCTTGCACTATGAACAGTTGAAACCTGGTGGCAGGAGAGGGTACTCCCCCTTCCATGTACAGAACCCTGATTGATACAAATTTAGAAAGAGCTCAACATAACTTGAATGATTGTCTTTCCATCAATACGAGACAATGAAGCTTGTACACAAGCCCCCTCCTCCACCTCCGAATAAAATTACTGCAGCCTCCAGAATCAGGCGAACGTACTTGCAATATATTATAGGTGCATTTTTCCGCGCATACAACTACTCAGTTTCCTTAATAATTTAACTGCACGAATTCCCTTTGCTGCGGTGTATTCATTGTGCTTTATCAAGACGTAAATTGGTCATATAGTACACCAAGATATTTTCAATTGTGTGGTTGTAGAATATTTGTAAGATGATAGGAGAGCGTCATGCAAATGGGGCCTTCTAAAGGGAATTTCAGTAAAGGGCAATTGCTAATATTTGAGTACAAATGCATATAATCAAGCCAAATTTCTATAACTGGTACCTATGTCCAATTCTTGCGTATAGCTTGTCATTATCATCTGCTGATGCATCAAATTGCATTGTCATCAGCCTACACATATGCTATATTTCACGACATATGTACGTCCGTACGTCATGGACTGGAGCTTATTAAGGTATTATTTACACCGGCAAAAGGAGTGCCTCTTGCGGGACCCCTTTTTGCGTATACGTAGCAGATGAGATGGCGCTTTAGGAACAGTAGACCTTTATATCTCGTAAGAATTCCACGATCCACGCATGAATATACTCCTGGAAGTTGAGGTTGTGCAGCCGATGAATTAAAACAACGTGCTCTACACTGTCGTGCGCTTTTGCGATGTCCAGTGTGACTAACTCAGCATATTTCCTTTCGCGCTTATTGAATGCGTCCCTCAAGTTCTATATGGGCCTGTCATATAGATCATCCAGATCTGAAGCCAATTTGAGATGAATTTATGATTCATTGCTCAACAAGAAAATTGTGTATGCGACTTTTAAAGCCTTACGATTAATTTTAACAAGTTTGAAGTTAGCGCTATAGGCCTAATGTTGTCCAAAACATGTCGCTTACGCGTAGTTTAAACGAATGGTATCACCTTCTCAATCTTCCACTTTGATGGTAGCCACGCCATTCTTAATAAGTAATTAATTACATCTAATAAATACTCTTAGAGTTTATTTTTTGGCACCTTCAGCATAGATCAGTAGGAAGTCTCTTAGTTTTGTCTTCATAATTGTCCTCTTTATTACCTGCTTCGCTTCCTGAACACATTCGCCACCGGTGAGAGATGAAATAACTGATATACAAGAGAACGAGAGAAAGAAAAAGAGGTAATAAAAGGCAGAGAAAATTAAAAAAAAATTTGGAGAAAAAAGCTCAGACAACGTGAAGTATTTAACCACGTTCCGGCCATCTGAAGGCCAGCGTCTTAATCTTTATAGGCTATCCGGACACGCTAGCAGAGCATAGCATAGCCCCGTATTGAAAACACGTTTTAAAATTTTGTGACAGTGAGTCGCCATATAGAAATGCGCACCGTCTAATATGCAAGTTTTGCATAATCGCCATCTTGGGCTGCGCGTATTCGAAGCGACGCGTTGTTCGGTGAGGTGAGATTCTTGCTAAAGCCTGTGTTTACCAATTTTTTGTTTGCTTAGACTGTTTCGTGTGATATAGTCGCTTCCACTGGCCAACCCGTCGCTGGCCGAATCATTCAGCGGCACCTTCGCATTTGCGACGCAAGTATAGGCTCTGCGTCTGCAGACACCGGGGTTCTGTCGTCGGTACTGGTAGCAGCAAGCGCAGTTCGTTGAGCAATTTGCACACAGACGTAATCACACTTCTCTAAAGCAGCCAGGTGCGTAACTCTGGACGCCGTTTTCCTCAGCTGCTACTTCACATTGCTACGAGCTTCTGCTTAAGATTGAATTATAACAAAAGAGTTCATGCGGTATAAGTATGTTACCTATTATTACAACATAGGTGTTTGTTTATTTTTGCCGAAAATGGCAACAAAAGCCAGCGGATGAGCACTCTATACGTGTGTGATTCAATATGTACCTTTTTGCGGTATTCAAGATGCAGCACAGGAGCGTTGTTCACCTCGGTTTTCTTGCCACCAACAAAGTGTCGTGAACATGTATGCGTGGAGATTCAGACACGCGGAGGTTCCTTCAATTTTCTGACGAGACAAACTGCTTCCGCAAATCAGGCGATGACGTAAACCGATGCAGCGCGGACATAACACACCGGCACTCATCATGCGGTGTGCTATACTTCGGACATGATTTCACCAAAATGGTTGCTCTGACGGTGATTCTAAGTGCACTAGACCATCTGATGGCCAGATGACCTGTTTTTTCGAATACGCAGAATTTCCTGCCACGACACTTTCTGTTTATCGGAGAGGGGCGCCTACATCCAAACGTACCATGATCGTGTGCTGATATGGCATGTGCAACCCAAGACACGATGGCAACACTGACTGAACATACGTTCGACCAGAGTCCTTCAATACTTTTCTGGTCACGAAACTTCTCCGTAACGCTATGGGAGAGCTTCATATGGGGATCAAAGCTCCCGCGCGGTGGCGCTACGAGTCTGGTGAAGGCGGCTTGGACGGCGGCGGCCGCATTTGCAGCGTTTGCAGTGCGTTGGAGCGCGAGCTTACTGGTTTGTTTGTTGTGTGGTATAGCTGTCTACACTCATCACGGACGGCAAACTATGTGAACTACCATGCCTCTGACGTGCTGCGTACCTGGTTGCCGCTCTGGCTATCGGAGTTGTACAGAAAAAGCTTCGCTGTTCTGCCTCCCAAGCGACCGCGAACAACGCGACAGGTGGAAGCGAGCCATTCCACGACAGGAGACGGGCGCTTTCAACTTCGAGTCGAAGGCCGTTCGTGTGTGCGAGAAACATTTCGACACCACGGACATTATTCGAGCCGATGAGTTCAGAATAAGTGGACAATCTGTGCTTCTGCAGCGCGAGAAGCCTAAGCTCCGCGTCGGTGCCATACCCCGGATATTTGAAAGCCTGCCGGCGTATCTTACGAAGCCCAAGCCACGGTCGCGCTCACAGCGAGAAAATCCGCCTGCAAAACGTCGTCGCGTTTCGTCGCCGAACAACGATGGCACTGCATCTTCTGTGAGCTCCAGCACAGAGCCCTGCGATCCTGAAGCAGCCGGAGATGATGGTAAGCCTCCATTCGCGTTGCCTTGTTTTCTGTTTTCACTGTGTTGAGAGCCTGTATTGCCTGTGTGCTGCGTGATGTCGCATTATATTGATCCATATTTCTTCGTTTGACAGGTGGAGTGATAAGCACTGGAAGCTGCACAGAGATGGCATGCCAGACAGAGGGAAATGTCTGCTCCATCTCAGAGCTCCACGCAGTTAAAGACCAGCTTCGAAGCACTAAGCAGCAACTTCGTTTGTGCCAAGTGAAGATTGCGAAATTGACAGTGCAAGCGAATAGGAGCAGAAGATCGCACCAAGACGTTCAGAAGCTTTCGGCTCGCGAGAAGCTCATTTTTGACCACTGGCTCATGAAAGCCAACGCGAAGTCTGCAACAGCTGCGCGGTAAGTTCCAAATACACCATCACACACGTAACATTGCTATTGCATTGCCCCTTTTGCGTTTGAAAATGTTATCTCAAGGTGTAGCCTTCATTTATTCATCATGTATTTGTATCTGTTGTACCGCAAAACAATATGCTATTGAGGCAGACATTGGTTTGGCCGTTTTGTGTAGTGTGATTTCTAATTTCGGGAAAAATTGCAGGTTTGTTTGGGCAAATATACTTTCTTCAGTTTTTATAACACCATCCTCATTATTTTTTTGCTTTGCATGAATAGTTTCCAACACGCTCATTGTGGAAAACAAATTTGCAATTCATTCTCTCCAGGTACAAAAAAGAGTAGATTTATGACTGCTTGCTGCTAAAGATAAAGTCCACAGCAGTCTACACTTTTCTTCATGAAAATGAATTTTTGCCCCTTCCAAATCCCCGCACCCTCTATGGCTACCTCAGAAATCTGAAAGCTAATTTTGGCTTCGACAGCACTTTGTTCATGGTTCTGTGTGAAAAGCTAGAAGCAGTTCCAGAAAGAGAGCGTCGAGGTAAGAAGCAGTACTCATTTTTATAATTGTATTATATTCAGCAGCGCAATTGAGACAAGATGTTAACCTACCCAAAACTTTCCAGGAGTGCTCATGTTCGATGAAATGAGCGTCAGAAAAAGCGTCCACATTCGCGAGTCGGACATGGCACTGCTGGGCAAGGTGGATTTCGCCGAACACACACGACCAGGTGACCATGGCAAAGACGGCGACCACGTGCTGGTCTTTCTGTTTCGGCCTTTTCTGGGAGGGTGGTCACAAACTGTGGGCACATTATGTGCTTCTGGTGCTGCCCCAGGATGAATCGTGGCGAAGCTCCTTTTGCAGTGCATTGTTCACCTTACAAACGCTGGTGTTGTCGTTGACGCAGTGACCTGCGACAACTCCACATCAAACCAATCAGCCTTGAGATCTCTGGGTACATCTTTTCAAATTTTATTTAGCTGTGGTTAGTGATGTAGTAGAAAAACAAGTGTACTATTAAACTGTTTTTCTCTCAAGGTGTCAACGGGGACATGCACAAGCTTCAAACGTGTTTTGAACACCCGTGTGAGCCCTCAAAGCAAGTCCACGTTGTAATTGATCCACCGCACATATTTAAGTGCATCAGAAACAACTTGCTCAAAGTGGGCAAGTTTTTGGTAAGTAAAAAAAAGTTGAATGTGAATGCCTTGACCTGTGCATAAACTATTCAGTTTAAAAAAAAATTTGTCACTTGTCCTTATGTTGCAGCTCCCTCAAGGACAGGAGGTGTTCCACTGTCACTACAAGGACTTACTGGACTATGAAGAAGAACAGGCTGGACTCCGGGCTGTACCGAAGTTAACGAAAGCCCATATTTTCCCCAATGCGCTCCAAAAGATGAGCGTGAAGTTGGCTGTACAGGCAAGTCATGCACGCAGCTATGTTCAGTGCAAAGTGTATTTCAAAAACATCTGCTCACACGTTTTGGGAAGTAAACTTAAAATCCTTTTTTTCCACACATTTTACAGCTGTTCAGTGAGAGTACTGCTTCGGCCATGGAGTTTTATAGCGAGCAGGAAGACTGCAAGAAGCTCCATGGGTCGGCTGCAACATCGCAATTCACAAGAACATTGAACAAGCTGTTCGACTGCCTGAACTCTCGGAGGCCAGACCATGTTCGATTCAACGAAACACAACACATTGCTGTGAGATTATTACATGTGTTATGAAGTGTTTTCGTGTACTATAGATGAAGCATAATTTTATTCCAGGTGTTGAAGGACAGCATTGCATGGCTGGACAACTGGGAGAAATACATCAAGACATTACCGACCCAGAGGCAAGTCTGCTTTCTGAGTAAGCAGACATGTGGAGCCCTCAGACTGACACTGCATAGCTCAGTTGCACTCATCGAGAGCTTGCTGTTGTCTGGGTTTCGTTACGTTCTCGTTGGGAACTTCGGACAAGATCCTCTAGAGGTAAACATGATCACTTTTATGTGTATAAATGTGCTATGAATTTCTCATTGTTGCAATAACTTGATTTTTTCTTTCTAGAGGTTTTTCGGCATCGTCAGGCATGTTGCTGGTGACGGAGGGCAGCCGACTGTGCAACATTTTTTGTTCATCTATCGGATGCTCTCTGTAAACAACCTAGTTTGGCCGCCAAAACGGGCCACGGTCGAGGGAGATGGACCCCAGCTGTTGCTCAAGCTCCAGGGCCTCTTTGACAAGGGAAAACCTGCCTCCAGTCAGGTAACGTGCCCCTTGCTTTTATTTATTAGCTCTAGTTTCATTTTTTCAGGAGCAGTTTCACAACACAAATGACCAAATAACCAAATGAAACATAATGTGTTTTTGCATTTACGAATCTCAACTTACACATTGAAAGATTTGAAACTTGGAATGTATTTTGCAGATTGACATGTTGGCGGTCCTCTTTGATGACGTACTTGAGGAGCCGGGAGAGGCAGTGAACAATGCATCCGTGCCTGACGTTACGCTCTCCACCAAAGAGTGCATTCTTGATTATCTTGCCGGTTACGTGGTAAAGAAGTTTTCAACGATAAGCTGCACTGACTGCGTGGGAACACTCAAGAGCCAGACACGAGAGCCAACTGACCTAATCCAGAAGAAGTCAAGAGGATTCCTGCAAGTGCCCTCATCCCAGCTTCTCAGCCTGTTGCGCATTGTGGAAGGACATGTTGAAGAACTGACTGTGGACACAGTTGCATGTGCCGATGTGTATGCGAACATTGTTGACCAAGTTTTGCTCGACAGCCGCATTGCTTCTGCTGGTGTGGGCTGTAGGTTGCACTATGTGGGTACCACAGCAGAGGTTGTTCATTTTTTCTTGAGGTGCCGCCTGCACTTTTACACCAGGGAAAAAAACAAGCTGACACGAGCGACGCGGCGAGCAAACTGCCCAGCAAATGGTGGCAACAAGCCCCATGGGTAGCAGATGTTCTGTTTGTCATGCTATGTAAAGCCCAACTGTTGTGTTTTGTGTTTGCTAGTGACAAAAAACACTTGCACATTTGTGTTCCTAGTTGCTTGTGTGACGTTGTTTATTTCCTTTATCCGCCATGCTATTGCCGTAAACTTGTATGAATAAACACTTGCACCACAGCCGCGGCGCGTTTTCTAGTCATTTGCATGCGCTTGGCAGCTGCCTGCGACGATCAGCAAGTGGCCAGTCAGGTTACTGTCATCTCTGTGGCGGAACCAAAATCCACGGCGGCGACATTTTGATTATCCAATCACGTATTTTGAATTTGCAAAGCGGAGCATGGCTAGCTTTGCCTGTATTTCTTTTTTAATTTTTTTTTAGTGTCCCCGCCGTGGTGGCTCAGGGGCTAGGGCGCTGTGCTGATGATGATGAGCCCAAGGACGCGGGTTCCCAGCCGCTTTTCTGATGAAGGCGAAAAGAGAAAATGCCTGTGTTTTAGAGATTTCCGCGCATGTTAAAGATACCTGGGTGGTTAAAATTATTCCGGAGAGCTACACCAGAGTCCTTCAATGCTTGAAGGACTCTGGCTACACTACGGCGCGCGCCCGATTGCCTGCATAGCGTCAGCGCGTTAAACCTCATAACCAAGTAATCAATTAACTTGTCGTTTTGGTGGGACGAGTGTGTCAGACACTGAACATACGAGTTTTTCTGTTGACACCCTATACCTATGTTGACAGCCGGGAAAGTCGCTCAAGTGTGTAGCATTTACTCCTACGCGCGCTCATTATGCTGCTTCCATTTCGTGAGCGTTTTTCTTCATCATGTTGATGCTCACTTTCCAAACCTAGGTTATTTTTGTACATTATTAGCGCGCTATAAAATCGCGCAGACACAGCGCTAACCCAACGTGCTGTACGTTTGCACACCTATTTGCTAAGCGCAGCATGTCGCCCAGGGCTGTATATACCGATTTAAATCTGGTGCTAGTTAACTCAAACGCAGGAAACTGCAAAGACTACTCAAAAATCGAAAACGCCAGATGTCCTCCTTCTCAAAGCGAGAACGTAGCGGCCGTGACTACCGCAACGAACGAACGCTCCAACATATACGACTCAGTAACACGCGTGGCCTTGCCTCTATTTCACAGCTAAGCTAAGCGTCAACTGAATCAAAAACACGCACACTTCGCTCGCGTCGCTCGCGTTTTTACAGGTCGCGTTTTTACAGGTGGAAATGAAGAGCAGATGAAATTAGGCGCATTGCCGACGGAGAAACAGCCGGCCCGCAAGCGTCGCCGGCCGCCGGCGAAGCCTTCACGCTAACAGGGGCGATCCTAGCGGCAGCTTTTGTCCCTGAATGAAACTTCGGCCGGAGTTTCGTGACCAGAAAAGCATTGAAGGACTCTGGTTCGACCCATGCAGCTCGCTGGTTCAAACGGGCTCCTGTGAAAAGGTGTATAGTATAGCAGGGGTGGGTGGGAAAGGAAACAGAGGGAGAAGAGGACCAATTTGAGGGTGAGTAGGAGGGGACTGAGGAGGGGAGAACGAGTTCGAAGAGGCAGAAATAAAGTGAAATACGAAAATTTTTAGAAAGAGAGCGAAGAAATAGGAACCAATTGAAAGAAGGCGAGCAGACAGAGAAAGAGAGAAATAATAATATAAAGAGAGATTGCGATGCAGAGAAAAAATTGCTAAAAAGACGAAGTTGGAGATAGAAACCAGAAGAAAACGAAATGTAAATGGATAGAAGAAAATAAAGCAACGAATGAAACACTTTAAAAGGCAAGAGAATGAGAAATACATAGAAAACAAGAAAACTACTTGCAGACGGAAAGGGAAGAAAGACGGTGAATAATAGAAAGGCAAAAATGAATTAGAAAGTAGAGAAGGTAGACAGAGACTTAAACATCATGAAGAATCTTTTTTTTCCTCTATGCGTAGCATACAGTAAAAAAGGGTAGAAGAGAGAGAGAGAGAGAGAGATGGCAACAGCGTAACCCATCCAGGCTTCCCACCAGCTCTGTGATTACCCAGAATTACGTGAATCAACCTGCACTAATCTGTGTTTCTACGAGCAGTATGAAATTAGTATAAAAACAGACCTCACATCAGTCTGTGTGAACATTATTATAGACGTTCTCTATCAGAAAAAGAGATAGGTGCGCGTATGAGCGTCTTTTTATTGACCCCTTCTAGTGGCAAATTTGGATTGATGGACACGATGCTTCGGTAATATATCTTCAGTGTAGTCTTTCTTCGTCAACACCAGTCCTTTGTCTTTTGTTTGCTTTGCATGCTTCGCTTAGCATTACGCTCTTCGTGACTCAGTATATAGCTTAGGGTATAATTCAAGCAAGCACACCTGCTATTGTTCTTTTAACGTAGCACCACTTTATTATTCTAGCTACATTCATCGTGAATATACGAGCCACAGCTGCTCGGACTTCACTTGTGGAATTAGGTCAAGGGGATACTTGATGTCAGAGAATTCAAACGGTTCATCGGCTTGATTCAGTAGAGTTTTCATCCGTTCACCCTCAGCGTGTTGAAGTTGACACCGAATGGTCTTGCCCTGTAAAGTATTTTAAGATGAGAACATCTTCGCATAGTTCGTTAACAAAGCGTCATGTTTCAAGACTCAGGAATAGAGAACAATTTGTGATAACAATGACGACATATATTTCAAGAAAATCAACAGCACCCCACTGTGAAGTGCGATTTTTTTCAATTATTGCATACTTAAGCTTCAGTAGTAGAATTTATCATCATGATCATCATAATCACCACCACCATCATCATCATCATTATTATTATTATCATCATCATAATGACTACGTGCACTGCAGGACAAAGGCCTCTCCCTTGTTCCGCCAGTCAGCTTGGTCCTGTGCTTGCTGCTGCCAATTTATACCCGCAAAATCCTTAACCTCATTTGCCCACCTAACGTTCTGTCTCCCGCTAACCAGCTTGCCTTTTCTGGGAATCCAGTTAGTTACCCTTAGTGACCAGCAGTTATCCTGTCTACGCGCTACATGCCTGGCCCATGTCAATTTCCTCTTCTTGATTTACACAATCATATACTTAACCCCAGTTTGTTCCATGATCCCCTCTGCTCTCCTTTTGTCTCTTAAGTTACACCAACCATTTTCTTTCAGATTGCTCGCTGCGTCGTCCTCAATTTAAGCTGACCCTCTTTGTAAGTCTCCAAGTTTCTGCTCCATAGCTAAGTACCGGCAAGATACAGCTGTTATATACCTTCCTCTTTAGAGATAGTGGCAATCTACCTGTCATGATTTGAGAGCGCTTGCTGAATGTGCTCCACCCCATTCTTATTCTTGAATTTACTTAAATCTCGTGGGTGGCTAGTTTTGCTAACGCAATCTGTCTTCCATCTTTCAGCAGATGTGATGTTACCTGATCCTCAC